TTAATCAGCACAACTGTTTTCAACATCGATAATAATAAGAAATGTGTCTTAAGCACCAAATCAGCATTTTCATTTCTGAAGGATCATGTGACACAAAGTAATGCCTGCTGAAAATTCAACTAAAATACATTTTAAAATATACATTTACAATTGTAATATTATTTTACAGTATTACTGTTTTACTGTATTTTGTATCAAATAAATGTTTTGTTGAGCATAGATGTTTTCTTTAAAAAATATTACGTTTTGGAAGATTCTGTTTATGTCTGTTTTCATGAAAATCTTACATGTCTGGGTTTATACAACTAGTTGACACGTAAATAAATCTACATGAGTAAACAAATTCAGTATGAGCACATACTCAAGGACGTGTGTGTGTTTCAGCGTAGTAGGCATGACACAATTGCATTCAGTCATAAACACTCGCTTCATTAGGCAGCTGAAGCTGTGCGTTACGCGCTACATTGAGCCACCTCTGGCCATATCGTCTTTTTCTCTCACACACCCACTCCCAGCAAAACCCAATCACCAGAAAGCACAATTAAATTTCATGACTATGCATATTTGCGCTTCCCATTTTCATCTATTACAAAGGGCATTCATTAATCTACCTTTTATCCTAGAGAATTGATTTTCATTTTAGTGAGGTGTGACCGATACTGAGGTGAACTTACCAAGAGATGGCTAATTAAATCAGCAGTAAAATGCACAAGCCAGAGATTTTTCCCCCCTTCTTCTTTTTTTTTTTACTTGCATCTGATAAGAGCCAATGCTGTGAGGAAGAGGTGTGGTATACGGAAAAGAGGAGCTACTTTCTCTCCATTTCCAATTTCAGGTGAAATATTAAATCACAAATAAATGTAAGTGCTCAAACTCTGTGAGAAAATTGGTTACATGGCTACATGCATGGATGGACGCTTTCAGCAAATTAATGAATAGCGAACTAAAAGCTAAACAACATCCACCATAAAAGCAGAAGCAATAAACAGCACGCTAATAAAGTAGCAACTGAAACACGCACTCACAGGTGAAAATAGATTAGGTGCAATTGCAGAGTGGCGAACACCTACACCAACTTGTGCCAATCGACTGACAAAGTCCCTGCTGGTAAAAAGAAAGTCTTT